ACCTCTGAAGGTAGATCCTTTAAGTCCTGTAAGGTGTGAGGTGAGGCCTCCATGGATCAGACTTGTTTTTTCCAGTACATCCCACAGATGCTCGTTGGATTGAGATCTGGAGAATTTAGAGGCCATTTCAATACCTCAGACTTATTGATGCTCCAATAACCATTCTTGAACCTTTTTTGCAATGTGGTAGGAAGTTTTATCCTGCTGTCATAAGGGAATGCTGTTTCCATGAAGAGGCGTACTTGGTGGTAGGTGGTACGTGTCAAAGTAACATCCACATGAATGGCAGGAGCTAAGGTTTTTCCCAGCAGAACAATGTCCAACACATCACACTGTCTCCATCTGCTCACCTTCATCCCAAAGTGCATCGTGATGCCATCTCTTCCCCAGGTAAGTGGCTGACACCCACCCAGCCATCCACATGATGTAAAAGAAAACATGATTCATTGGACCAGGCCACCTTCTGTGGTCCAGTTCTGATGCTCACGTGCCCATTGTAGGCGCTTTTGGCTGTGGAAATGGGTCACCATGGGCACCCTGATTGGTCTGCGGCGACTTCAATGCCCATTTTTTATGCTTTCAACACAACTTCAGGGTCAGCATGTATATCCCACCCACTTCCAGATGCCATGGTAATGAAATAATTAATATTATTCACTTAACCCCTAGGCTCTAGGGCGTCTGGGCCCTGACACCGAGCGGCCGCATATTTGCGTGCCATTAGAAAATACATATGTGCTGAGAGCACGCTCCCTGCACGCTCCCAGCATATATGTCCGTGACTCACGGAAAGGTCCCGATCTCCCCTTGCGATCGGGAACTTTTCCGATCATGTGACCGCCGTGATAGCGAATCACAGCAGTTACATGACCCTAAAACGCTGCCCGCCTCCCGGCTTCTGAAACTCTTAAAGGGCCGGGAGGCGCCGGCGCAAAGGGGTTAAGCTGTCAGTGGTCATAAAGTTATGGCTGATCGATGTATATGCTAATGCTCAGGATGGAGATGGGTTGGTAACACTGAAAATTGCGGAGCTGCAAGCTCTCAATAGTGCTGCCATCCACTGTTCTACATCAAAGGACAATCTTGTTACAAATCACTTCTATTTCAATGTGTGTTTAGCTTTAGAGTTGGAGTTCTTATTTTATTCTTCTCTGGGTAACAGGTTTTCCTTTGTGGTATTGATGTTTACATCACTTACAAGACTAAGGTTAGCCATCTTTGAAAATGCAAAGTTTATATACTATATAGTTTTTTTTAGAACTATGAAGGTACTGCAAACAAATACAGTTGCAAGAAAAAGTATGTGAACCCCTTGGGATTACGTGGAGTTTTTGCATGTATTGGGCATAAATGTGCTCTGAAACGTCATCTAAGTCACAACAATAGAAGAACACAGTCTGCTGAACATAATACTACACAAACATTAGATGTTGCCATGGTTTAATTGCACATAACATGTAAACATTCACAGTGCAGGGAGGAAAAAGTATGTGAACCTTTGGAATTAATAACTGGTTGACCCTCCTTTGGCAGCAATAACCTCAACCAAACGTTTCCTGTAGTTGCAGATCAGACCTGCACAACGATCTGGAGTAATTTTGGACCACTCCTCTTCACAAAACTGTTTCAGTGTAGCAATATTCTTGGGATGTCTGGTGTGAATCGCTCTCTTAAGGTCATGCCACAGCATTTCAATCGGGTTGAGGTCAGGACTCTGACTGGGCCACTCCAGAAGGCGTATTCTGTGCTGTTGTAGCCATTGTTTTGTTTGAATTACTTGTATGCTTTGGGTCATTGTCCTGTTGCATCACCCATCCTCTGCGGAGCTTCAGTTGGCGGACAGATGGTCGTACGTTTTCCTGCAAAATGTCTTGATAAAACTCTGGAATTCATTTTCCCCATCAATGACAACAATCCGCCCAGCCCTGGGGCAGCAAAGCAGCCCCAAACCATGATGCTCCTCCGCCATGTTTCACAGTGGGGATAGGGTTTTGATGTTGGTGTGCTGTGCCTTTTTTCTCCACACATAGTGTTGTGTGTTCTTCCCAAACAACTCAATCTTGTTTCATCTGTCCACAGTATATTTTGCCAGTAGTGCTGTGGAACATCCAGGTGCTCTTTTGCAAACTTCAAACGTGCTGCAATATTTTTTTTGGGACAGCAATGGCTTCCTCCGTGGTATCTTCCCATGTACTCCATTCTTGTTTAATGTTTTTTCCTTATTGTAGATTGTGTCAACAAAAATGTTAGCATGTGCCAGAGATTTCTGTAGGTCTTTAGCTGACACTCTGGGATTCTCCTTTACCTCATGCAGCATTCTGTGCTGTGCTCTTGCAGTCATTTTTGCAGGACGACCACGCCTAGGGAGAGTAGCAACAGTGCTAAACTTTCTCCATTTGTAGACAGTCTGTCTTGCCATGGACACATGAACATCAAGGCTTTTGGAGATACTTTTGTAACCCTTTCTAGCTTCATGCAAGTCAACAATTCTTGATCGTAGGTCTTCTGAGAGCTCTTTTCTGCGAGGCATGGTTCACATCAGACAGTGCTTCTTGAAACCAGTAAACCCAAAACAGGTGTGTGTTTTTTAAGGGCAGGACAGCTGTCAGCAACACATCCAATAATCATGACACTGATTGGAGTCAAGGTTGGCTCACTCCTGGCTCCAATTAGCTCTGGGAGAAGTCATTAAGCTAGGGCCTCACATACTTTTTCCTCCCTGCACTGTGAATGTTTACATGTTATGTGCAATTAAACCATGGCAACATCTAATGTTTGTGTAGTATTATGTTCAGCAGACTGTGTTCTTCTATTGTTGTGACTTAGATGACGTTCAGAGCACATTTTATGCCCAATTCATGCAAAACTCCACGTAATCCCAAGGGGTTCACATACTTTTTTTTTCTTGCAACTGTATTTATTGAGTAGATGGTGCTGCATACTAACAATATTAGTAAAAACTGGAAGTGATAATCATGAACTTCTATGGTATTGATATTCCTTGCATTTTCCTGTGTAGCAGCAGTGTATTATGGAAATAGTAAACTTCCCCTTTTTTTTTCCTCACAGGATCAGCTTTCTTTATGGAGGTTCAGCCACGGCAGCTGCCTGCTATGTCAGCAGAATATCAGTGGCCTAGAGCCATTTCGGGTGACTGTATTGTTCTAAGACCAGAGCTGCACAGTCTGTATTCCAAGTCTGAGCCTATACACTTCATTTTATATAAGTACAAAGCACACACAAGTTATTTTAAAAGGTTTTATTGGAATGATGTTTCTGGTGTTTTGGTCGTACATCATATAGCAGCATTGCAAAAATATTTCACAAATTGAAGGGAAGTTCCACCCAGAACTAAAATGCCATTTTGGGCAAGTATGCTGAGTAATATTTAATTCTATGTGGTTGTTGCGGGGGGGGGGGGGGGGGGGGGCGGGGGGGATGGCACCTTTAGTGGACTAGACTGGTCAATAGTGCATGTTTTTAATTTGTAACCTTTTTTTTGTATTTTGAGAAAAAAAAAACTATTTTCTGAGTTACCCCTTTCCACAGAAGTGATTGTCTTACCTTTTGGCCTACAGTGTCCCTATATACCTTTATTCTATTTATGTCTTTTGTATGATCTTTCTCATCCTTTTTTTCATTTCTTCAAAACTAAAGCAACTGTTAGGCTGAGGAAGAGAGGCTGATTTAGTTGGGAGGAAAGGCTTAGCTCTCGTGGTAGGCTTTGGAGGTAAGGAGAGGCTGAGCTGTACAACAGGCAGGGAAGGAGAGGCTGAGCTGTGTGTCCAACAGGCAGGGAAGGAGAGGCCAAGCTGTATTTAGGAGGCAGGGGAGGAGAGTAAAGGCTGAGCTCTATTTTACAGGCAGGGAGGCGAGACTGAGCTGCAAGTAGCAGGCAAGGGAGAAAGACTAAGCATGTATGTAGGAAAGATGGACTGAGATTCATTAAAACGTTGACAATAAAAATATTGCTGTTTTTGATCTTCCTCCTCTGAAAGACCCATGAGCGCCTCTAAACCCAGTTTTGGATTTACAAGTATGTAGAATAGATATGTTAAAATAAACAAAGGACCTTATGCTGGCCATACATTGATCATTTTTTTTCAGCCAGCAGGACCGCATTCCCCCATCCATATATACTATGGAATCCTCCCCTCTGCGCTAGTGTATTCTGACAGTGGGACTACTCCACTGTTGGGATACACCAATTGGCTGCATGCACTGATCCAATGACAATTTACCAGCAGTCCCATTCAAGGGGAGTCAATCATTTGATCTGACTCTGGAACATGAATGGCCATAGATGGATTAAAATTCATCCAGTACCTGCTGAACCAGCCAAATAGAGATCCATCTATGGATGGCTTTAGAAAACAGTCAATTGTTATGTGGAAACTGGTAGCTCTGAAAATAGTCATCAATCTAAACTACACCAGATTTTCCAAATCTGAATCAAATTATTAATCAAGGGATATTTCGAGAATAGGTAACAAAAGGTCAGAAAACCCCATTTCTGCCATGCTCAATCTGAAGAACAGTGAGGTAGAGATACATGTAATTCAATAGGTTCCAGAATCATACTGCACCTAAAATGTACCTTAATTCTTGGTGGGTGAGGCATTTGGTCCTTTTCTAGTAAGTCCAGCTAAAATGTGGGAAAATTATGATGTTCCATACTGATAACAAAACAAATTCTAGCGGTCTCTTCCAAAAATATGCATTTACTGCAAAAAAAAATGTCACAGTAAGGTTATTAAGGTCATGCAAGGTACAGCAACCCATAGCAAATTGTTTTCTGTCTGTTGCTATCGCATCAGTAAAAGATGTCATCTGATTGGTTGGTATGAGTTACGGTACATTGCATATTGCGCTCTGCATTGTTGCCCTGGTAGCAACTGGCATGATTGGCTCAGTGTGTGGGGGAGGGGGCATTAATACCATTCAGGTAATCCCAGGAGGAATGTAAAGATGTAACACAAGGGGGCAGTGAAGGGCAGCATTTAGTAGGTGTAGCTGGGCTGGAAGAGGGATTTGGAGGAGGCGGAGTCTGAAGATCCAGAGGGTTCATACTTCCCGAGGGATGCCAAACCGTTGATCTGCAATATACAATGACAATTAGCATATGGTTAATTAACCTTTTTAAAGTATATCAACCTATGCACAACCACAACAAGTTCTATGTTATTCCTCTGTACTTATGTCTATTATTCTAATTACTGTCAGCCTCATCATTGGAAGTAGTTGAAGGAAGATCTGTTGTTACTGGACATGAGAACTGATTATATTATCCTATACCATCCTAGAGATATACAGTTGCAAGAAAAAGTATGTGAACCCCTTGGGATTACGTGGAGTTTTTGCATGAATTGGGCATAAAATGTGCTCTGAACATCATCTATGTCACAACAATAGAAGAACACAGTCTGCTGAAACATAATACTACACAAAACATTAGATGTTGCCATGGTTTAATTGCACATAACATGTAAACATTCACAGTGCAGGGAGGAAAAAGTATGTGAGGCCCTAGCTTAATGACTTCTCCCAGAGCTAATTGGAGCCAGGAGTGAGCCAACCTTGACTCCAATCAGTGTGATGATATTGGATGTGTTGCTGACAGCTGTCCTGCCCTTAAAAAACACACACACCTGTTTTGGGTTTACTGGTTTCAAGAAGCACTGTCTGATGTGAACCATGCCTCGCAGAAAAGAGCTCTCAGAAGACCTACGATCAAGAATTGTTGACTTGCATGAAGCTGGAAAGGGTTACAAAAGTATCTCCAAAAGCCTTGATGTTCATGTGTCCAAGTGGAGAAAGTTTAGCACTGTTGCTACTCTCCCTAGGCGTGGTCGTCCTGTAGAAATGACTGCAAGAGCACAGCGCAGAATGCTGCATAAGGTAAAGAAGAATCCCAGAGTGTCAGCTAAAGACCTGCAGAAATCTCTGGCACATGCTAACATTTTTGTTGACACAACTACAATAAGGAAAACATTAAACAAGAATGGAGTACATGGGAGGACACCACAGAGGAAGCCATTGCTGTCCAAAAAGAATATTGCAGCACATTTGAAGTTTGCAAAAGAGCACCTGGATGTTCCACAGCACTACTGGCAAAATATACTGTGGACAGATCAAACCAAGATTGAGTTGTTTGGGAAGAACACACAACACTATGTGTGGAGAAAAAAAGGCACAGCACACCAACATCAAAACCTCATCCCCACTGTAAAACATGGCGGAGGGAGCATCATGGTTTGGGGATGCTTTGCTGCCTCAGGGCCTGGACGGATTGTTGTCACTGATGGGAAAAATGAATTTCAGAGTTTATCAAGACATTTTGCAGGAAAACGTACGACCATCTGTCCGCCAACTGAAGCTCTGCAGAGGATGGGTGATGCAACAGGACAATGACCCAAAGCATACAAGTAATTCAACAAAACAATGGCTGCAACAGCACAGAATACGCCTTCTGGAGTGGCCCAGTCAGAGTCCTGACCTCCACCCGATTGAAATGCTGTGGCATGACCTTAACAGAGCGATTCACACCAGACATCCCAAGAATATTGCTACATTGAAACAGTTTTGTGAAGAGGAATGGTCCAAAATTACTCCAGATCGTTGTGCAGGTGTGATGTGCAACTACAGGAAATGTTTGGTTGAGGTTATTGCTGCCAAAAGGAGGGTCAACCAGTTATTAAGTCCAAATGTTCACATAATTTTTTCCTCCCTACACTGTGAATGTTTACATGTTATGTGCAATTAAACCATGGCAACATCTAATGTTTGTGTAGTATTATGTTCAGCAGACTGTGCTCTTCTATTGTTGTAAACTTAGATGACGTTCAGAGCACATTTTATGCCCAATTCATGCAAAACTCCACGTAATCCCAACGGGTTCACATACTTTTTCTTGCAACTGTAGAAAGGACCAGCTGGTAATGGGGAATAACTAGGATCAACTGCTTTTTTGTTGCCATTGAACAGTGATGCCCACTGACATGGCAGGATGGCAGGATGGCAGGTATTTACTAACATTCATAACATGGGTGATGGAAAGTTTGTGCAGATAGGTAAAGACAATACTTTTACTTGTAATGACACAAAATTAGGGTTTTATGGCACTTTAAATACACCATTAAGCTTAGTCCTGAAGGATGAAGGCAGGCTATGACCCCTGGGAAATGTTGTTCCATCATAAGTAATTAGATAATGCCTGTCCATGCTTGGAGCTGTTTTAATCTGGGATTTGCGAAAAGGAGTGAAGAATCCACATCACATATTAGTTGGGCATACACTAATCATCAATAACATTATGACCATTGACAGTAAAGTGAATACCATTGTATATCTCGTTACAATGGCACCTGAGAGATATATTCGGCAGCAAGTGAACATGTCTCAGAAGTTGATGTATTGAAAGCAGAAGAAATGGGCAAGGATCTGCAGCTCTTGTGGAATGTTCCCAGTCTGCAGTGATCAGGACCTACCAAAAGTGGTCTAAGGAAGGAAAACCAGCAAACCGGTGACAGGGTCATGGGTGGCCAAGGCTCAATGATGCATGTGGCGAAGGCTGTCCAGTGTAGTCCGAAAAGCTACTGTAGCTCAAATTGTGGAAAAAGTGAATGCTAGTTCCAATAGAATGGTGTCAGAGCAGAGCATGCTTTGCAGTTTGTTGTGTATGGGGCTGTATAGCCGCAGACAGGTCATGGTGCCAATGCTGACCCGTGTCCACAGACAAAAGCGCTTACAATGGGCATGTGAGAATCAGAACTGAACCAGAGAAATGGAAGGTGATCTGGTCTGATGAATCATGTTCTCTTTTACATCATGTGGATGCCTGGTGGTCCCCTACCAGGGAAAGAGATGGCACAAGGATGCACTTTGGGATCCATGGAGGCAATTTATAGGACTGAATAGATCTACTACTGATGGCTTGGTGCCAGACACCACAGCATACCTTCATAGGTCTAGTGGAGTCCATGCCTCGATGGGTCGGGGCAGTTTTGATTGCCAAAGGAGATCTACTCAATATTAGGTGGGTGGTCATAAATTTATGGCTGATAGGTGTATACTTATAAATATCTTATATTGTAAATTGGAGGGTCTGTCTACTTTATTATGGTTACTGCATATAGTCTTGTGACTGAAGTATAGAGTAAACCCTTTCTTAATGCACATCAGTAGTTTCATATGGAGTGCGGAGATGTTTAGAGCAACCATCAGGTTTTTATTGCTGTCTGCATTCCCCTTGGGAAGATTCACCCTCTCTATTTGTCCAGGTAACTATCATTACAGAAACATAAAGTGATGAGATATCCAAACATTTTACAGTTGACACTGAAACAAATGATTATGATGAGGAGAAATCTTCCAAATAAGGGATTCAATCTTATTTGTAGAGATTTCTTCCTATTTCCTGTCGTGTTGTCATGACAGGAAGTGAAGGGAATTTTCCCCTAATGAACCCATACAGAAAAAAAATCTGACGTGAGTTATAATCAATCCTTGCTCTGTACAAGACTAAAACAAGTTTTAGGTACAAGAGTTGAGGGGTTGTCCTGACCTTTGCCCTTTTAGCGAAAGCTTCCTGTGTCGCTTTCTCATTCTCTGTTTTCCCGACCCAGGCAGAGAGTGCTGAGGCCTGAAGGGCACGGCCATAAGAGAAGGACAGACGCCAGGTGCGAGGAAGACTGCAGCGGTTCATGGCATTCAGGTTAAGTGATGCCTCTTCTTCACTCTGACCTCCAGACAGAAAGCAGATACCTGCAGGAAATCAAGGCACAGATGATATTGTAAGTTTGCGATGCTTGTAGATCTTGTAGATCTGTTATTTATTTTATTTCAGGTACTTATATAGCGCCATCAATTTTACGCAGAGCTTTACATACATATATATTGTACATTCACATCAGTCCCTAACCCTCAAGGGGTGTACAATCTAAGGTCCCTAACTCACATTCATACATACACATACTAGGGACAATTTTAGACAGGATCCAATGAACCTACTAGCATGTCTTTGGAGTGTGGGAGGAAACCGGAGTTGACATTTTGTATCTCCTAGGGCTTATGGTGGGAAAACCACCTCATTAGCATTGTCATCAACTCTAGTCCCTCCCACTTTTGTTCTTTAACCCCCCTGCTATTTAAAAATCCTACAATAATATTAAAACCCCCTTGTAGTATGCCTGGTGGGTGATGGTCTTTGTTGACTGACATGGCTTTGGTTATTTACTGTATTTTCTAGATATATATATATATATATAATTAATTATCCATTGTACTCCACTACAGTGGTGTTTGATTTTTGATTATAAAGTCCCCATAGATTCTGGATAGGTAAAGATTTTGGTAGGTCCATTACCCACATCTATTTTAGGTGAGTAGGCATCCGATTCTTTGTCTATAATTCCTCACAATAACAGGTTTTTTTTACCAGTGTTTTGGTTCCTAGCATGGTTTGTTTAAAACATTTTCAGAGTTTGGGCAACTTAAGGCATGGCCAGGGGCAGACTGACCATTTGGAAACTCGGGCACTGTCCGAGGGCCCGGGATCAGTAGGGGGTCGCATGAGATGCCCCTGGTACCTTTTTCATAGGCTTTTTTGAGTTTGGGCCATGATCCCCTATTGCCCAGGGGCCCCCGTGAGTTGTCAGTCCACCCCTGGGCATGGCTTTAAAAAATCCAGATTTTTTTTTCATGCATTTCCTTGAACAGGCACATGAACATGTTTAAAATAAACTCCAACAAGAATCTGATTTCAACATTTTTAACAATGGAACCTGGTAGGTCTGGGCAAGATCTTCCAACCAGAGTTCCTGCATCCACTCCCGCACCTCTTCCTAAATTTGGTGGAAACTCTGGGCAGAGGCCTCATCACTGGGCACTTTGAAGTTATAGGCAGCCAGCAATACTTCAACCTTTAATTGTACATACAGTGGGGAAAATTTTTTGATCATCTGCAGATTTTGTAAGTTTGCCCACTTTCAAAGAAATGAGGGGTCTATAATTTTTATCATAGGTGTATTTTAAATGATGGAGACAGAAAATCAACCAAAAATCCAGAAAAAAAAACACATGATACAAATGTTATAAATTGAGTTACAGTTCAGTGAGTAAAATAAGTATTTGATCCCCTACCAACCAACAAAAATTCTGTCTCCCACAGACTTTCTATGTGCTCATGTGGTACACAGATTAGTCCTGTCAATTTAAGAAGGTGCACGTTATGTGTATAAACGACACCTGTCGACAAAATCTCTTTCTTCCATTAAAACCTCTCACCACTATGGGCAAGACCAAAGAGATGTCAAATGACATCAGGGACAGGATTGCAGACCTGCACAAACTTGAATGGGCTACAAAAAAAAAAAAAAATCAGCAAGAAGCTTGGTGAGAAGGAGAAAAAACTGTTGGAGTGATTATTCACAAATGGAAGAAATATGAAATAACCATCAATCGCCCTCAGTCTGGAGCTCCATACAAGATTTTGCCTCATGGGGTAAGGATGATCACGGGAAAAGTGAGGAAGCCCAGATTTACACGGAAGAAGCTTGTGAATGATCTCAAGGCAGTTGGGACCACAGTCCCCAAACAAACCATTGGCCACACAATATGCCACCATGGATTGAAATCTTGCAACGCCTGCAAGGTCCCCCTCCTCAAGAAGGCACATATACAGGCCCGTCTAAAGTTGCCAATGAACATCTGAATGATTCAGAGAAGGATTTGGAGAAAATGCTCTGGTCACATAAGACCAAAATTGAGCTCTTTGGCATTAACTCAACTCACCGTGTTTGGAGGAAGAAAAATGCTGACTATGACCCTAAGAACACCATCCCTACAGTCAAGCACAGAGGTGGAAACATTATGCTTTGGGGCTGTTTCTCTGCTAAAGGTACTGACTGACTTTGCCACATTGAGGGGCCAATGGACAGGGCCATGTATTGTAAAATCTTGGATGAAAACCTTCTTCCCTCAGCCAGAACAAGGGTCATGGATGGGTCTTCCAGCATGCCAATTAAGGTCATGGAGTAGCCTAGCCAGTCTCCAGGCCTTAATCTTTTAGAAAATTTATGGTGGGAGCTGAAACTTTAAGTTGCCAAGCATCAGCCAAGAAACCTTAAGGATTTGGAGAAGAACTGTAAAGAAGAGTGGACCAAAATCCCTCCTGAGATGTGTGCAAACCTGGTAACCAAGTACAAGAAATGTCTTGCCTCTGTGCTTGCCAACAAGGCATCTTACTCACTGAACTGCAACTCAATTTATAACATTTATCTCATGTGGCATTTTTGGTTGTTTGTTGGTTTGGTTTTTATTCTGTCCCAATTATTTAGAATAGACCAATTATAAAAAATGTATAGACCCTTCATTTCTTTGTAAGTGGGAAAACTTACAAAATATGCAGGAGATCAAATTATTTTCCCCACTGTATAAAACTGATCAATTTTATGTTGGAACACTTTCTTTATGGAAATTGTCATTATTGATCTGCTTTTTAAAGTTGCAAACCCCAGGACTGTCATTATGATCCTGAATTTACTATTTGGCATCAGTGTCTCACTAAAGCCTAAGGAGTATGAAATGGGTCAGTGTGGGAAGACTCATATCTCTATCCTAACAGATTTACTTTGACAACAGTCTTACGTACCTGGGACTGCAGAAGGGACTGTTCGTCTCAGAGCAGTAACAGTTGCCATACCGACTTGCTCGGGTGTAAATTTTTGAGAGCAAGATTGTCCTCCTGTCACCATGTTTGGCTTTAGGAGGGTGCCTTCAAGATACACATGATGCTGGATGAGGGCATGGTACACTGCAGACAGGACCTGCAACAGGAGAGGCACATATTTATATAATGTAGGTATATGACAACATTAGCTATTACCATACTCTGCTTTGTAATTCAATACTAATTGGTAAGTGGGCTCCAGTTAAAGTTGCAAATAGTGAATCTTTCCCATGAGATGTTGTGTTCTCTAAGCAATAACAGACAGGTTAGACTGGCATTAGTTAAAATGCAATGGTTAGTCCATCTTATATAGAGAGATCTCTAGCTGCAGTAAGCATGTACAGGAAACAACGGAGTGGCTCTGCTTATCTAAGAAGCATAGGGACGAAGAAGGGGGAGTTTTTCTCCATAACCAGACGCCATCATCAAACCTGGATCAGTAGAAAAAAAGTGCAACTGAAGCAAACCTTAAAGCTCCCAATTGGACCTCATTTTGAACCAAATCCCACAATCCCTCTTTATAGTCTATAAATCTCTATATAAAATAATGTACTATTTAACAACAAAAAGAGTTAAACTGGCTATAGATTAATAATTTTTTTTTTCATTTAGCCAGCAGAAAAAAAACCCCAAAAAACTAACAGATTCCTCCATCCAAACAATCAAGGTAGATGGAGGAATCCTCCCCACTGGCACATTGTATTGTGACAGCTGGGCTCTACACTGATCAGCGGTTGGAGCCGACTGATAGGGAAAAATTTCCCAACAAGTCTTTTGAAAGAAGTTGATCTAACTATTGACTTCTGTGGAATACACACAGGCAGAAAAAGAATGGAATTTGGCCAGTCCCTGCTGAACCGGCCCATGGCCAGCTTTATACTGCACTATGCTTTACATCCAACCTGTAGACTACTGCATTAGGGTTTCATTGAAAAGTCAGTATATAGGAAAAGTCGAGATAAAAGCACTTACGGGTTTAATAAAACAATTGTTTGTATTTTAATTCTTTGTAGCCTGTGTAACTGGGCACACTGGCTGGGGAGTGCCCTATTTCTACATACTTTGTGCTATTTATTCCTATGTCAGATATTTGGGAAGTATGAATTTGTCCTCACATTTTAACCCTTTCACTGCCAGAGACCTTTTTGCATAAATCTAGGAAATGCAAAATTTCAGTAAAAAACACACTAAAGTGAATTTTAGGGCAAACAAAAGCAATAAATTACCCGAACTGTATAAAATATAAAAGACAAGGTTTCGCTGAGTAAATAGATGCCCAACATGCCAAACCTTAAATTTGTTTGTGCCTCTGAAATGACGGCAATCTTCAGCACCCTATATTTTCTATAGGCAACTTTTCAAAAGCCCCTATAGGTCATCAGTTTAGTGTTACAGAGGAGGATTTTGTGCTAGAATTATTGCGCTCACTCCAGTGTGCACGGCGATATGTTGCCCAAATTTTGGTAAAATATAAAAGACAAGGTTGCGCTGAGTAAATAGATACCCAATATGTCAAACCTTAAATTTGTGTGCACCTCTGAAATGGCGACATACTTCAGTACCCTATGGTTTCTATAGGTGATGCTTTAAAAGCCCTTATAGGTCATCAGTTTAGTGTTACAGAGGCGGTCTGCTGGAATTATTGTGCTCACTACAGTGTGTGCGGCGATATGTAATGTGTTTTGTAATCAACGTGCATTTACATTCGTACGTGCATATATGTATATAACTGGTCATATTGGCTTACCCTTTTTTTTTTCCAGTGCGGAAGGAGAAATCTCCCACTGTATAACAAGCATGCTTTACTGCATATACAGCCTGATTTTACTGTTGTGGGTTTAGTAACACATGGATTGCTGCACTGGGGAGGCCTTCCTGGCTATTAACGGTAGAAGCAAGCAGAACTTTCACTTTTAAAAATGTAAAATGGCCATCGGCTTTGTTTCAAGTTGTTGCAAATTCCACAACTGAATTAGTGCAACAAGGGGAGGCAAGTATGGTGTAAAACTATACACACTAATCACTTAATTGGGCGATACTAGCCAGGATCTACAGGTCAGCAGGACTTTGTTCAAACTCCAGCTGGCAGCATTCCCAGACTTTCAATAACCATCAGTACACAAAAAAAACAAATGTTCATATTCAACAATGGTGTGAGAAAGAAGCTGGTGGACTACACATTCCAGCATGACCTAAAGAAAAATCATGCCGGGAATCATTTGACTTCTGTTAAAGGAGAATTTTGGAAAACTTTCCAGATCAGTGGTTGCAGCTGCTGATCAGTGTGGATCCTGCTGTCAGAATACAACGCCCCAGCGGAGGGGGAATTCCTCCATCCACCTTGCTTGTGTGAACAGAGGAACCAGATAATTTTTTTTTCTTTCAGATGCTGGCTGAATGAAAAAAAAAAACTAACCATGTAAGCCCAGCTTAAAGGTTAACTCCACTTTTGTTGAAAAAAGAAACATTCCCCTCTGGGCGATCCATGTACATTGCAGGGATTTTAACAAACTTGGTTACAGATTCCTACCTTTTGTTATTCTGAAGAAACAGATTTTTCTTTGTCTATGTCCATGTACAAAGTGAAGGACAATGGGAGTGGTTTTATAATGATCAATCAGCTGCTGCACCTACAGGGCTCTGGAAATTAGAAAATTGGCAGGGTCTGCATCCCTTTAGTCTAGGTTCACATCTCAGCGTTTTCACCCGGTTTCATGCGTTTTTTGGAAAGGGTCAGGGACTTTTTTTAAACCCAAAATGTTGCGTTTTTTGGTTCTACAGACTTCAATGGAGACACTGCAGAAAAGCATGTAGTGCGTTTTTGATGTGTTTTGCATTTTAATCTGCCCAGCAACAAGTAAAACATTTTTTTTTTAAAACCCAGTAAAACCCATCAAAAACGTATATGCAAAATGCACTGCAGAAATGGATCAAACGCATACTGCATAGATGTGAGCCTAGCCTTAGACGTGATTTCCCTTTGGGCGTATCTCACCAAAAATTACATTTGTATTGCAGGGGATGCTCAAAATGTGACTTGTATCTTAGTGCAGACTTCCGGGAAAATCAGTGAGCCAATCACACAAGCAGGAAAGCGTTGTGTATACCATCTGTGCACAGAATGCCTCCCAGTAGCCGTATTGCATTTTACAGAAAATGAGAGGGCTGCAGATTGAATAGTAAAGATCATTCTTAATAACACTCAGTTGCACTATGACTTGTGTAGCAATTGTATATGGTATATTATTATTTTTTTGATTTGCCATTTTTTCCCCATGAAAGTTGAGTTACCCTTTAAGTCAGCTCCCGTATTTCTATCCAGCAGGTCCCCTTCAAAACATCAGTCCACTCCATATTCTCTTTTTTGGAAAGCGTTATTCATGTTTACCTATTCATTTCTCCATTTTTATTTAAAGGGTTGCTCTACTTTTTTACATAAAAGGTCCTGGGAGTTAATAGAAGATTTTTTATTTCTAGGGAATTAATTAAAGTCATGCAGTTGCTCATGTAAAAGAATGGATCACTCCCCTGCTGCTTTTTCTGGCCATTTGTTGGCCATTGGAACTGGAGTAAAGAAAGCCCTATGTAAGCTACTACCCAACATGGAGCTCTGAGAGGGTGTGAGAGTGACTGTGCTTGGCCAACCATGAGGCATCAGTGCTGTCACATGGGAGAGGGACAGTGATTCACATGCTAACCTATACTTGGGTATTTTATTACAGTCCTGGCAAGGAAGCAATGGGAGGTGAATATATACTGCAGGAGAATAGAGGGAGCTTAGTGAACGTATTATTTTGCATTTCAATGGCAAATAAGTGTCAATTTAAATTTCATTGGAGAATGTACCAGGGAGAGTGGGAATGTTTAAGGTGTAGTAAAAGGCAATTGACTCAGAGGTTGGCAGGAACCAAACTGATTCACACCAAATGCGGCTATGAAATTTCAAAGCTGCCGGTAAGTGGGATTTCATGTGCGGCTTATCTATGCGACTTCATGCATGGCTGTCAATGAAAGCAGGAAGTAGCCAAAAATCATGCAGGAACCCTTTTCAAAATCGGTGCAAGTCGGAGTCTCTCCGATGTGAATGGTTCCATAGGCACAAATAGGGTGCAACTAATCATGTGATTTTGAACTGTAAAGTCCCATGACAAATTGCATTGGTGTGAACGGGGTCTATGCTATGGTTCTCGCCGGAAGTGGCTTTGAAATTGTGCTACTTCAGCTGCTGTAGCGCGATTTCAAAGCCGCAGGTCAGTGTGATTTCACATGCGGTTTGACGACATTTGTGAGGCTTCATGCATAGCTGTCAATGCAAGCTGCACATGAAATCGCCAAAAATCCTGCAGGACCCCTTTTCTTAATCGGTGCTGCACCAGTTTGAATGGTTCCATAGGCACAAAGAGGGTGTGATTGTCATGCAATTTTGAACTTTCAAATCGCATTGGTGTGAACGGGCGCTAAAAAACTAGCTTGTCAATTAAGGTCTCAAGAAATGTAAGAGGCATACACTTCAGAACTACAAACCAATTACTTTACAGTGCTTTTCAAACTTTTGAAGACATTTTATACACATGAAAGGGTACCCCCAGGAATTTTATTCCTGATTATGGCCAGCTAGTTGATATAGCCACAGCACAAGGATTAGTCAAGAGGAAAGCTGGAGACAGGCCAGAGCTCAGACTCCAGGGGGTCAGAACCAGAACATGGGGGGCCAAAAAGAAACCATGAAGCATATTCAGGCATAACCTAGGTCATTGCAGGCAGAGGAGGATCAGAAAACTGATAATCACAAGAAACTAGAAAAAGACTGCAAATAGAAGAGATGGACTCAAATAGGCAACAATAACAGGGCAAGGTTAAATATATTAGAGTACCAATCAGCACAGGTAGCCTGGAGCACTAATGTATGTGCTTGTACCATACAGTACTGGAGTGTGTGCACGCATGGATGAGCATACACAGAATGTTTGAGGACATAACATAGGACTGGGAATAGCACGAGGAGCGTAAATGTTTTACAGACTCCACTTATGACTGAAATACCACTTTGGGCCCGGTGAACCTTCAAGCCTTCTCACCTTTTCTGTTTCATACTGGCATCTTTGGAGGTCATGTGATCCATCGGACAGAATTTCAGGTTCCACGATTGGCACAAGACCATTCTGCAAGAAGTATACATTGACAACTTATTAATAAAATACTCTATTCTGTCACATAGCAAAGGCACATAATTTATAGAAGCTGCATATTCTGAACGAGGGGAGTTCAAGTCAAACCGGGACTGTGAATTTTTCATGTATAAAAGGGGATGCTAGCGTGGCGGTACTACATGTAGTAGTAAGTGGCAAGTGTGTCCTATTACTGATAGGCAGTGCACATGTTGCGGGCCAGTCCAGAAACTGATAATCAAGATGGCAGACAACAGTGTTAGTGCAGGCATTGAACACCGTGTGGTGATGAAGTTTCTTGTGAAAGAAGGTGTAAAACCCACGGATATCAACAGAAGACTTCAAGCACAGTACAGTGATGAGACGCTCAACCGCAGTAGGACATGTGATGTAAATGTTTCAAAGATGGCCGTATGCCCATCAGTGTGATCTTGGCAGTGGTGGTTTCCAGCCCATAGCAGTCATTCCTGTGAACATTCAGCATGTGGAACACCTGATCCTGTAAATCAACGCATCATTTTTCTGTGGAAACTGTGAACACAATCATTCACAAACTTTTGCATTTTTTCTAAAAGTTAGTGAAAGCTGGGTACCAACACAGCTTTCCGCTTTTGCCTGGCACAGAAGTATTCTGAGTGATTTGCATATGCGTCTGCAGAGTATATGGCCTGGTTTGATCACAAAGGGCATCCTGTTTCTCCAGGACAATGCATGAGCTCATACTGCTCACCGCACTATGTGCACATTACAGCAACTTGGCTGGGAGGTATTACCACATCCCCCTAACAGCCCAGACCTTGCTCCGAGTGATTTCCACCTATTTGAAACCATAAAAGAGTTCCTTGGAGGTCAGCGTTTCACCACTGATGATGAAGTGAAGAAGGCTGTCCTAGGATGGTTCAGGTGTACTGACAAATCTTTCTATGCCAAAGCTTTCCAGGCATTAGTTAAACTATGGGATGTGTATAAATGTAGCAGGGGAGTAAGTAAAAAAAAAAAGAATGCAGTTTCCACTTCTTGAAAGTTGTTATTTTATTATAGAAACTCAAAAGTCCCGATTTGATGTGAATGTCCCTCTTAGTTAGGTTCAAAAAAGACAAAAGTCCATCTAGCTCAACCAATATAAAAAATAAATAAATAGAAAATCTCCATATACACAATCCTATACCCAACAACCCCCCTCCTTCCCCAATAAAGCATGGTCCAATTCGCTCCAGCGGAAGAAATAAAATTCCTTCCTGATCTCCCAGGAGGCAATCGGATATGCCCTGGATCAACTACCCCTGGTTTTATTTCCTAAAAATTTTAATATCCAGTTATATTTTGTGTATGTAGGAATGCACATTTAGCTCTTTTTTAAAACAATCTACTGTGATGCCCAGAACTAGTTCTTGAGAGAGTCTATTCTACATTTTCACACTTGTGAATGCATCCTGCCTGCACTTCTATGCAAGAACCCAAGTCGGTGGTCCTGCGATTATCTGCCAGAAGCAGCCCCATTGAAAGCAACGGAAGGCTGCTGGCTCTTGCATCTACTCATAACCCACTCACATGCAATCACTCATGATGTGATCACATGCGACTGATCGGCCCTGGGTGCAGACTGCCTGCGTCCAGAGCCAATCGCTTACATGTGTTCACAGCATATTCAATTACATGTGAGTGGGTGTGATTAGCTGCAAGAGCCAGCAGCCTCCCATTGCTTTCAATGGGGTTTTTTCTCGTATTTAATTGCAGAAACCCCCACTAGGGTTCTCAAAAATAACAGCATAGGCAGTGTGAATGCATCCTTACTTTGAAGAAGCCTTTATTGTATGTGGAGTTCAGACCCCCTTTCCTCCAGATGTAAAGAGTGCCCCCTTGTTCTCTGTAATGACCTGAAAGTGAATAACTCTACACCGATTTCACTGTATGGACCACTTATATATTCATACATGGTGATCAATCCTCCCCGCGATGCTACTGTATTCTGACAGTGGGGACTACTCCACTGTCAGAATACGCTGATCAGCCAGTTGGCTGCAGGCGCTGATCGAACAATAGTTTACCAAATGTCCCGTTCAAAAGACGTTGATCATTAGCCTGATTTCTCTCGAACGGGAATGGTCATAGATGGATTGAAGTTTGGATGGTCCCTGCTGAACTGGACAAATTCCCATCCATCTATGGCCAGCTGTAGAAGTGGAAATATTACTCTAGACAAAAGTAAACCAGAAAAAGTATGAGATTAGAATCCGTTTATTGCTGAATTTTAGACATTGCACTGTGCACAGAGCTGCACCATATCGTGATCTAGGCTCTGATAAGCCCTTTGTTTTTGCTCTCACTGGAATTCCTAATGGGGTTAATGACAGCCACAGAGCAAAGGCAAAAAACAGCTTAATCAGCTCTGTTTGTTCTGCACAGAACCTCTGTGTGCCAAACAGGCAGGAGTGTGACATGAAACTCTACCAGGTTCAATAAAGATCACACCACCAACCCAGCACTGATAAGTACTGCAGCAAACACTAAACAGCCCCCTTTTGAAACTTAAAAAATTGCAGGTAGACACAAAAATTAAGTATTTTAACCACTTCAACACCGGGCCAATTCTGACACTTCTCACATATACATACAAATCTAAATTTTTTTGCTAGAAAATTACTTATAAACCCGAAATATTATATATATATATATATATATATATATATATATACACACACACACACACACACACACACACACACACACTGCTCAAAAAAATTCAAGGAATACTTTGAAAACATATCAGATCTCAATGGGGAAAAATATGCTGGATATCTATACTGATATGGACTGGGTAATGTGTTAGGAACGTAAGGATGCCCCATTGTTTGATGGAAATGAAAAATATCAACCTACAGAGGACTGAATTGAAAGACACCCCAAAAATCAAAGTGAAAAAATGATGCAGCAGGCTAGTCCATTTTTCTGAAATGTCATTGCAGCAACTCAGAATGGTGCTCGGTAGTTTGTATGGCCCCCACAGGCTTGTATGCATGCTCCTAATGAGATGATGCATGGTGTCCTGGGGTATTTCCTCCCAGATCTGGACCAGGGCATCACTGAGCTCCTGGACAGTCTGAGGTGCAACCTGGCAGCGTCGGATGGACTGAAACATGATGTCCCAAAGGTGTTCTATTGGATTTAGGTCAGGTGAGCATGGGAGCCATTCAATGGTATTAATTCCTTCATCTTCCAGGAACTGCCTGCATACTCTCGCCACATGAGGCCAGGCATGGTCGTGCACCAGGAGGAACCCAGGACCCACTACACCAGCATAGGGTCTGACAATGAGTCCAAGGATTTCATCCCAATACGTAATGGCAGGCAGGGTGCCATTGTCTAGCCTGTAGAGGTCTGTAAGTCCCCCAATTGATAGGCCTCCCCAGACCATCACTGACCCAAAACGGTCATGCTGAACGATGTTACAGCCAGCAGAACGTTCTCCACGGCTTCTCCAGATCCTTTCACGTCTGTCACATGTGCTCAGGATGAACCAGTGGCGGACCTGCCAATTCTGGTGTTCAATGGCAAATGCCAATCGATCAATGGTAGTGAACACAGGGCCCACTAGAGGACGTCGGGCCCTCAGGCCACCCTCATGAAGTCTGTTTCTGATTGCTTGGTTAAAGACATTCACACCAGTGGCCTGCTGGAGGTCATTTTGTAGGGCTCTGGCAGTGCTCATCCTGTTCCTCCTTGCACAAAGGAGTAGATACCAGTCCTGCTGATGGGTTAAGGACCTTCTACGGCCTTATCCAGCTCTCCTAGAATAACTGCCTGTCTCCTGAAATCTCCTCCATGCTCTTGAGACTGTGCTGGGAGACACAACAAACCTTCTGGCAATGGCACGTATTGATGTGCCATCTTGGAGGAGTTGGACTGCCTGTGCAACCTCTGTAGGGTCCAGGTATTGCCTTAAGCTACCAGCTGTGACAGTGTGAGGAAAGTGCAGCCCACAACCGGCAACTGCATTTACATGGTGATCTGCTATGTTATTGGATACAGTTGATCACGTGGTAAAAGGCCACTGTGTTTGGCCTTTTACCCACATCACGTGATCAGCTGTGTCCGTAGGAGACAGCGATCATGGAGATCGCCGGGTGCGAGACACTAGGGGCGTGCAGGAGGGCACTTTCTGAGAGGACATCATATGACACCCTCCCAGAACTGGACAACTGCGCTGTAGCCGTCATTTGGCTATAGCCTGGTTGTCAAGTGGTAAAAAAATTTTAATGCACAAAAACACAATATACAAACCAATTGTTTGATAAAATATAAAAGGTGATGGTATGCTGAGTAAATAGATATCTATTTAAAATTGCCCATGCTTGTGGAATGGCGCAAAATTATAGTACTTACAAAATCTCTACAGGTCAACTCTTTAAAAGCCTTTACAGGCCACCAGTTTAGAGTTACACAGGAGGTCTGGGGCTAGAATTATTGCTCTCACTCTGATGTTTACAATGATACTTCATGTGTGGTGCGAACACTGTTTAGATATGCGTGCGTGACCTACGTATGTGTTCGCCTTTGCGTGCAAGCATGGGGGAACGGAGGCGCGTTAATTTTTTTAAAAAATTTATTTTTACAGTGCCTCTATTCTTTTATGGCTATTACAGGGGATAAGCAACTTCCCTTGTGACAGCTGGAGCAGTGAAAGGTCCTCTTTATGGTGAGATCTGGGGTCTCCACTGCCCTTCAAAGCATCAGATTACACCAAGATCGGTTTGATCTGATGCTTTCACAGGCCAATAACAGTCTGTTTACATTAGACCAAAATTGGAAGTGACAAAATAGTCGTTGCTCCTGGTTTCTTAGACAATATAGATGATCGGAAACGTTCCGGTCCTCGATTATCTCTATGATCAGCCGGCAGAACCACTGGCTTCAGTCCTGGGTTTCCCCTGTGGGACAGGAGGGTCAGGGAATGTTTTTTTATATCTACAGTATACACAAATGTTTTTCCTTTAATTTCTTTTTTAAACTGAATTTGACACCCCTGGGTTAGAGGGTGAGGGTTTACATAACATACTTTACATACTATAACTAGACTTCTAGAAAGCTGACTAAAGCTGGCCGTCAAATTGTTGTACACACTGGTTTCCATACTAACATTTATAAGCTGAAGCAGTTGTAGACAAGGCTTAACCAGTATGATGTCTACTACGTACCAAATCACAAGTGCACTTTGGTACCATCAGGTCTACCCTAAAAGATACATTAGAAAAAAATTAAGTCACCTGCTGGCAAATGCTGGCATACCGCGCCAACACGTTGGCATTTTCGTAGATTGAAAGGCTCGAGGGTGCGTGCTCTGAGATCTTCAGCACACAGCGCCACTTGGCAAAGTCAGCACCGTCCTTCTTGTACTGAGCGCAACGTTCGGGACAGTCCATCCAGACCTGTAAACATAACAGCTAGAGGTTTGCAATGGAGAAGTGGAGAGTACAAAAAGGATGACTGCTACCAATATGGCTGATGGAAAACGGTGCACTGTTGGTTAAGTGAATCTGCCACTTATGTACTGTTACATCTGGGAATTAAAACAACAAAACTAAATGCTTAGCACTTCCACCTGGCAGTACTAGGGTCATTGGTTCGAATTCCAACCACAGCACCACCTACCTGGAGTTTGCATGTTCTCCGGTTTCCTCCCACACTCCAAAGACATGCTGGTAGGTTAATTGGCTCCTGTCTAAATTGGTCCTGGTATGTTTATATATGAATGTAAGTTAGGGACCTTAGATTGTACGCCCCTTGAGGGTTAGGGACTGATGTGAATGTACAATATATATATATATATATATATATATATGTATGTAAAGTGCTGCATAAATTGACGGCGCTATATAAGTACCTGTAATAATAATAAAATAAATACTGTACCTAAACCTGTTTTGCACTGACTGTGTTAGAGCCGTAAAGCTCCTTCTATGTTCACTTCACCTATGCAGTTTGAGTTTGATCTGCTTCTGCAGTGCTTTTTGCTGTGCATTTTGCGTATTTGCATACGTTTCTGACTTTTTTTTTTTTGCGTCTTGCATTTTTATGGGGGGTTTTTTTGGCTAACTTGTTGCTAATTAAAGATGCAAAACACATAAAAAAAAGCATCAGAAATGCACTACATGCGTTTCTGCAGCATCTCCTTCAAAATCTATTGAACCAAAACGCATTGTTTAAAAAAATCCTGAACCTTTCCAAAAATCACACCAGTTGAAAACATGGAGATGTGAATTTCACCCATAGGAAATCAAGTTAAATGGACTGTAGTGCATTTCTGCATAATACAAAATGCACCACAAAATGCTTAGATGTGAACCAAGCCTTACAGGAGTGAGCTCTCAAATGCTGAGCTCAGAGCTACTGCTTCAGGGTGGACAATGTGCATGTCAGGGGTGTTTAATCAAAGAAAAAGCTCACTCCTAGTATGGGTGCCACAGGGGCAGGAAGTGAGGCAAAATCTTGCCAAATATCAGACAGAAATGCTAACCCCTTGCCCACATAAAATATGAAAAAATGGCTGGAGGTAGGTTTTAGAGAAACAGGTAGGTATTGGCCTTAAGAGTCAAGTAGGAGTTGTTACCACCAGTATCTGACCTTGTGTGGTGGTTTCTCCATCGGTTCCTGCTAGGGGAGCAGTGCCTTTGTCTACCTGCAAAATAAAAGCCCAGATTTAATATTCATAAGATTGTACATTAATGATCATACGGTGACACCACTAAAATGAAGAAGACCAGACCTTGATTCCTACAACGATTCCCTGATCCTTCAGGATTTTGGAGAAGGGGACTCCGTCACTGGATTTTTGGTACAGGGTCTCATGGAAAAGGATGACCCCTCCTATGCTTTGGTTAAGTTTGGAGTCAGCAGTGAAGAGAAGGTTTCGGAAGAGGCGACGGTTCTCCTCTGTGTTCTCCACATTAATGCGCTTCAGGCGACTCCCCATGGTCCCTTAAATGGCAGTGTTGGACAGAGAATAGTTAAGACAGTTTCCCATAAACCAGAGTAACACAAGAGCCCTGAAAAATAAAGGGTTTCTGAACAAAAAAATGTGGATTTTAAAAGGTGGACCTTTAGTAGACAATAATCTGGGTTTGTTGAAGTGATGCTTAAAGTGGTTGTAAAGTTCACTTCTTAAGTTGTACCTACAGGTAAGCCTATAATAAGATTTACCTGTAGGTACAGTGAATATCTCCTAAACTTGCACTGTTTAGGATTTATTCACATGTGATACGGCCAATGACATCACCAGCACATGCACTCTGAAGGGACGGTATACCCGTGTCATAACTTTCGAGCTGTGTGCTTTGGCCATGATTCCCTTGCGCATGTGTGTATCGTCGTGGCTCGGCCATTTATACACCCAGAACACGCAAACCTGGAAGGAAAACCGAGGGCGAAAATGGAAGTCCTGGCAGTGGTGACAGCGCACTGCTGGAGGGCTTAGTTTTAAGATAAGTATACCATAATGTGCTAGTATACTATGCATAACATTAACTTGCAGGAGGATTTTTTTTTTATTTTTATTTTTTTTTTATGAAGTAAGAAACTAAACATTTGAAACAGTGTGCTCCAATCAGTTCCATAGGGTATTGTGTTTTTTTTTTTAAAGAGATTATAAAACAGTAACTCTTTCCTTTTCAGTCTGTCACTTAAAGTAATTGTAAACCTTTAGATATATCCAGTGAAGTTACTAACCTCAGGTAATACACAGAGATGGAACAAATCCTCCTACATAAATTGTACCTGTTTATCTATAGCCATATTTCCCCTACATCCATTCAAAGTGCAGGATTTACACAGGATCTCTCAGCTCTGAAAAGCAGGGGGCGGGATCTTACAAGATTGAGAAGCGCTCACTTTATTATTTATATTTTAGTAAGGAGAGCTCTGAGAGCTGATTGGAGGGAAGGGACACACCCCATTCGCACAGCACACATGAACAGAACAGAGCTGAGGCTGTCAGTCTGCAGGAGGTCCCTCCCTTGTCACCATTTTTTTTTTCTTTAGAAATGACTCATACCTATAGAAGAGGAATGGGAAATAACACAAAGGCTGCATTTACACCTGAGCAATTTGTAGCTCAAAGCTCCAAAACGCTCCAGGAGAACAAAATCAGTTAGATGGTTCATATCTCTATTCCAAGTCGCCTGAAGCCAAACACCTGAAGTTCAAATAAGTTCTGTAGCTTTTATTGTTGCTCAAATCGGGCAGATTTGCACGTTTGTGAGCATTTTTACCATAGAAATGAATGGAAATGTGCGGTTCAGGCGGTTTTGGAGCGTTTTTCCGTTCGGGGGGAAAAAAATGTATATATATATATATATATATATATATATATATATATATATAAAATGTTAAATAAAATAAATAGACAAATAAATAAATATAATCATAAATAACTATTAAATGAATAATAAGTAATAAATAAATACTAGCTAACCCCTAACCCTAAAAAAATAAATAAAATAATAATAAAAAATAAATCAACACCCTAACTCTAACAAAAAAAAATAAAAATAATAATGAATAATAAAAAGGCAGTAAATAAAATATTAACCCCTAACCCCAAAATCTAACCCCTAACTGTAACTCCCAACTCTAACACCTAACCCACTAATCCTAAACTTAACCCCTAACACATAACTCCTAACTCTAACCACAAACCTGAACCCCTAATCCAACACCTAACCTTAACTCTAACCCCTTATCCTAACAAAAAAAATTAATAATAATAAACTGTTTTTAAAAACCTGATGGAAAAGCTAAAGAAGCGGAAAAAACCTAGCAACAAATGATGATACAGATGATATTTTTCTCTTTTGGCTATCAAAGAAAACACCAAAGCTCAAAAACACTTTAAAAACACTACACAAATATGCGCATACAAATGCGTGACAAAACACCTGAAAAAATGCTAAAAAACACTTGTGAATGCAGCCTTAGTGCATTTGATTAAGACAAGTACACACTATAGAGGGATATACTATGCTCATATTTCATGTCTGAGGTTTACAACAATGTTAAAATCTGCGCACAGTTATATGGAGCAGGAAGGAAAGGGCGCATTCACTTTGTGTGTATTTTGAGCTTCAGCTGCTGAGCTCTGTAAACATTTTCTTCTTCAGCAAGTCGAGTATAGATAGCCAGGTAAGCGTGTGTGTGTGTATGTGTGTATGTGTGTATGTATGTATATATATATACATACACACACACACATGTATTGTGACAGTGTGGCTATCTGTCACGATATAAAAAGGATATTTCACCCAGGATTCTCAACAAGGCAGGTTGAGGGGCTCCAGGGTACTTGTCTGATGCAGAGGAAAGTGGCTTTTCACTTTCCTCATGTCTTGGTAAAGTCCATTTTGGGACCTGGAGCCTGGAGATTTCAAAGTGATTTGGGAGAGATGAAATCTCCAATCCTGGCACCAGGTTTTGGGAATGGCCAGGATACTGATTGGTCAGGTGTGCATGGCTCTCTTCTAGAGTCAGGACCAGGGTTCTGGGCTCCACCTCGGCAGACAGGAGGTCATTGCCTGGAGTCAGGAGGGCTCCACCTAGGAGAGGTGGAAGCCAGAGCACCAAGGGGCTTCTAGCGGTGTGTGAGTGGCTGATAGCTGTGTGTAAAAAGCCATATTTTGGAAGGAGGCTGTGTGCATTCAAGGAGTCCAACGCTGTGTGCTGGGACTAGCCAGTGGTCTGGGAGACCCATTCAAATAGAAGCTAACCAGCAGGGCTGATAAAGAGAGCCAGGATGCTGAATATTTTGTTTGTCTTGATGGTGGATACCCCTGCGTGGGAAACCTGTTATGTGGAACTTTCTTTTAAATAAAATTGGGCAAAAACAGCACTTAAAAAAGAAGCAAGTGAGTGACTGTGTGCTTAAAAAGCTCTACCCTTGGTGCTAGTTCTCACAGTATGTATGTATGTATGTATGTATGTATGTATGTACAGTATATATACACACACACACATACAGGTGCAACTGAGGTTAAAAAAGAGATGCTTAAAGTATTTAAACCTTAAATCTATTTTCAGCATGTTTGGCACCATGTCTCACGTATGCAATTTTATTAAATAAATCATTTCCTGTGACTTTGTTGCAAAGTTTTTTACCTGTAGATCTTGCCAATAATAATAATATTTCCTGTAGCGCGGTAACAATGCTAAGCCCCTATCTCGCATTTAGCAGCAGTGCTGTAAGCCTGCCACGTTTACTCCTGTATACCAATGAACAGATTGGCAACCAAAGGATTATCCTTGCAATAAGCAGACATTGACAGTACAGGTGAAACTCGAAAAATTAGAATATCGTCCAAAAGTTCATTTATTTCAGTAAGGCAACTTAAAAGGTGAAACTAATATATGAGATAGACTCATTACATGCAAAGCAAGATATTTCAAGCTGTGATTTGTCATAAATGTGATGATTATGGCTTACAGCTCATGAAAACCCCAAATCCACAATCTCAGAAAATTAGAATATTACATGCAATCAATAAAACAAGGATTGTACATAGAACAATATCAGACCTCTGAAAAGTATAAGCATGCATATGTACTCAGTACTTGGTTTGGGCCCCTTTTGCAGCAATTACTGCCTCAATCCAGCATGGCATGGAAGCTATCAGTCTGTGGCACTGCTGAGGTGTTATGGAAGACCAGCATGCTTCAATAGCGGCCTTCAGCTCTTCTGCATTGTTCGGTCTCATGTCTCTCATCTTTCTCTTAGCAATGCCTCATAGATTCACTATGGGGTTCAGGTCAGGTGAGTTTGCTGGCCAATCAAGCACAGTAATCCCACGGTCATTGAACCAGGTTTTGTTGCTTTTGGCAGTGTGGGGAAGGTGCCAAGTCCTACTGGAAAATGAAGTCAGCATCCCCATGCACTGACACCAGCCTCAGTCCACTCCTTGTGAAAGTCCCCAACACTTTTAAATGGCCTTTTCCTGACAATCCTCTCCAGGCTGCTGTCATCCCTGCTGCTTGTGCACCTTTTTCTTCCAAACTTTTCCCTTCCACATAACTTTCTATTAATGTGCTTTGATACAGCACTTTGGGAACATCCAACTTCTTTTGCAATTACCTTTTGAGGCTTTCCCTCCTTATGGAGGGTGTCAGTGATGGTTTTCTGCACAACTGTCAGGTCAGCAGTCTTTCCCATGATTGCGATTCCTACTGAACCAGGCTGAGAGACCATTTAAAGGCTCAGGAACCCTTTGCAGGTGTTATGGCTTAATTAGCTGATTAGAGTGGGACACTTTGAGCCTAGAATATTGCACCTTTTCACAATATTCTAATTTTCTGAGATTGTGGATTTGTGGTTTTCATGAGCTGTAAGCCATAATCATCACAATTATGACAAATCACGGCTTGAACTATATTGCTTTGCATGTAATGAGTCGATCTCATATATTAATTTCACCTTTTAAGTTGCATTACTGAAATAAATGAACTTTTGCACGATATTCAAATTTTTCGGTTTCACCTGTATACAGTATATATTTGCTTTAAAAAATATTCTTACCCACAGATTCATCTGCTGCCAGTATTCCCCTGCCATCTTTAACAATACGCTGAGCAATCTCGGCAAGTTCCTTCTTCTTTTCGTTGGTGAGTGCTGGGAACTGAGACATTATGGCTGGTCTAGGTAAATAGAAAAAGGAAACATTTAAAAAGGCAGCTCCAACAAGTACATCCATTGTTCAGTCAATAGGAATTTTACAGTACACTGTCCAATCAAATTTGTGATTACTCAAATCACCAAATAATCAAATTGCTATGTGTGTCACAGACAGGAGTCCACACCTGCTAGGATCTGGACTGACCAGGATCAAATCATGCTGAGTGGAGGCTCAGGTCTCAGAAGAGATACTAAGAGGTAGGCCAAGGGCACCAGGGGATACTGGAGGCTTGGGCCTTGGAGTGATGGACAGCAATCTGGAAGCCCGATGAAACACTGGGACTCTTGGAAAGAGAGGCAACCCAAGAGCACCAGGGAACACTGGAGGCTAGGGTCATGGAGTGGTGGAAATAATTTGAAAACTCGATGAGACACTGGAACTCTTGAAAAAGAGGGGTACCCCAAGGGCACCAGGAAACATTAGAGGCTTGGTCATGGAGTGGTGGACAGCAATCTGAAAACTAGGTGAGACACTGGGAATCTTTGAGAAGAGAGGCATCCCAAGGGCATCAAGGGACACTGGAAGCTTGGGCATGGAGTAGTGGACAATAATCTGGAAACCTGAAGAGACAGTGGGGACTCTTGTAGAGACACTAAGTTACAGCAGGAGCTGATGTGACAAGAGTAACACTGGATACTAGCAATACAGCATATTCCAGGGATTTGGAAGGAACTGGACCCAGAGTCCCTGTGTGTTCAGCAGAAATTAGAGCCCTAAAAAAAGGCCACGTCTAAGCAGTTGTCTGTTATTTTACCGAGTACCAAGCAAGAGCTGATGGCCTTTGCTAAAGGACATTTCCAAGGTTGTGGCCCTCTGACTCACCCAAATAGGCAGCATCTAAGCATTAAGCACTGATACTGAAGAGTGAGGAGCACAGTGGAAACAAACAACAGGGTCAAGGACTGCAGAAAGTTGCTGGGATCTGGGTGCTGGGATCACAGGAACGGGGGTCTCCAGAAACAATGGGGTGCTAGGATCACAGGAACACAAGAGTTAGAGTCTCTGGGAGTACTGGAGCTCTGGGATCACAGAAGCACAAGAGTGAGAGTCTTTAGGAACACTGGGGTGCTAGAGACACAGGAATACACACTTCTGAAATGCTTGTAATTCTACTTCAGTATACCATAGTAACATCTGACATAAAGACCTAAAAACATTGAAGCAGCAGACTTTGTGAAAATCAATATTTGTGTCATTCTGAAAACTTTTTTTGTAATGCACACAGACAATTGTTGTACTCTTGCATTGAGCTTACATATTGGGTATTTGCCCATTTATTTTTGTAAGGACACCAAATCTTTCCACCATCAAATTGCTACGCCATCCAAAACTAAAGAAATGGCTTGAGTGTTGAGTTGGGCTTTAAATACAACATTTTCATGTTTCAACATTTCATGAACCCTGAGGAAGTCACGTGTTACCGTGACGCAACGCGTCGGAACGCGAGGAGGATTCTGGGAGCGCGGTGACGTAATTTCCGGCGTGGTGGCCATATTTGAAACCCCTGTATTCATATACCCATGCAGGAGATTCATCAAGCATGGGGTACTGAAGGCTTGTTACAAGACGATTTTAAATGTGAGTGGGCAATTTTACTATATATCTACTGACCTAATAAACAGGATTACACTATGTGAGTTTTTGTTTGTATATGAACCGAGGAGGAGATCGCTGTTAGAGTGTAAGAGGCGGGGAAGGTCCTGGTGAGTCATCTAAAGGGTGTCCTGTTGTAAAGCGAGCTGACCCTGTAGGGTCTTGGCAAGGAGGTGAGGAGCCATCACGGCCAAAGTTTGCATTCACACAGTGTGGACACGTGTGACACATGCATGAAGATTGTTAGTCTTTTTGTTGCATTTGGACACTTTATCTTACTTTGGATGTATCATTATTTATAATTGATGATTGGAGTGATTTTTATTGCACTTTATTCTCATTTTTGATTGCACTTTATTCTCATTTTGAAGCACACGGTTTGCACAATTTTTTGCTTATGCACATATTTGTAAATGCACCATTTTTACACATATGTTTAGTATTTTGTGTTATTATGTAGAGCACTTTTCAGTCAAGTGTGCACTTTATATTTATATCTATATATAATTAGTTTAGGGAGAGCGCTGCACTTTATATTTATATGTATTCACTCATCTTGGTAAGGAGTTTTGTGTCAGCTGCTTGGTAAATAGGGCCCCATTCTTAGCGCAGGAAGTTCTCGCACTTTGATTTCTACATTTTCATGTTTGTCTTGAGATTTAGATTATATGTGTATCCATTAGTAAAGTTGGGTAGACTCAATATCAGATAACCAGAATTTCTAAGTGCAACCTATCACATGCTTTTCAACTCTGCAATCTGTAAGAAGCACACCCCTGAACTCTGTATGCACTGCGCCCCTGAACTCTATGCACCGCGCCACTGAACTCTTCACTCCATGCAGTGCACCCCTGAACCCTGCACTCTGTGTGCAGCACACCCCTGAACTCTGCACTCTGTGTGCAGCACACCCCTGAACTCTGCACTTTGTGTATATAGCGCATCCCTGAATGCTGCACTCTGTGTGCAGTGCACCCCTGAACTCTGCAGCACACCCCCTGAACTCTGCACTCTGTGTGCAGCGCACCCCTGAACTCTGTATGCACCACGCCCCTGAACTCTGTATGCACCGCGCCCCTGAACTCTGCACTCCATGCAGTGCACCCCTGAACCCTGCACTCTGTGTGCAGTGCACCCCTGAACCCTGCACTCTGTGTGAAGTGCACCCCTGAACTCTGCACTCTGTGTGCAGCGCACCCCTGAACTCTGCACTCTGTGTGCAGCGCACCCCTGAACTCTGCACTCTGTATGCAGCTCGCCCCTGAACTCTGTATGCACAGCGCCCCTGAACTCTGTATGCACAGCGCCCCTGAACTCTGTATGCACCGCGCCCCTGAACTCTATGCACCACGCCCCTGAACTCTGCACTCCATGCAGTGCACCCCTGAACTGGTTTGGAGGGTGTGTGTGTTGGGGGGGAGGATTTTGGGAGGGTCGTGGTTGAGTTCCGGCACCTATTTTCTGAGAAAAAAAGCCATATATATATTGTGTACTGATCCTTCAATAGCTATATATAAGTACTTCTTGGACTTAGTAGATGCTGAATGTCTTCTACAGTCTTTTGCAAACACGGACAAAGATAAACACACACACTCCATGAAACAAGCCATTTCACAATAGGATATTTACATAACTATCAGAAGTAATGGCCATAACTACCACTAAAAGGTCTGCCCATCCTCAGAGCAGCAGTTCTGTGTCACACCCCCTCCTTCCCAGTGTGTGATCTCTGCAGAACATCTCAACCATGAACTGTACTACACTACACAATGCTCTGCACAGCAATATCTGCAGAACTTCCAAACCTTGTTCAAACAACTGGAAAACCAATGTAGAACATTACTGCTCTCTTCCAAAGAATTGCAGATCATTGCACCCTTCTTCCAATGAGCTGCAAAGCGGGCAGCACAGTGGCTAAATGGTTAGCACTTCCGCCTGGCAATACTAGGGTCATTGCTTCGAATCCCAACCATGCCACCACCTGCCTTGAGTTTGCTTGTTCTCCCTGTGACTGCATTAGTTTCCTCCGGGTACTCCAGTTTCCTCCCACACTCCAAAGACATGTGGGTAGGTGAATTGGCTCCTGTCTAAATTGTCCCTAGTATGTGTATGTATGAATGTAAGTTTGGGACTTTAGATTGTACGCCCCTTGAGGGTTAGGGACTCATGTGAATGTACAATATATATGTAAAGCGCTGCGTAAATTGACAGCGCTATATAAGTACCTGAAATAAATACAGCCCCCAACAGATGCAAATTATACAGATGTTGCACAGCAATGTTTCCAAAGAGCTCCAGAGCATTGCTTAAAAAAAGTAGCAGTACTCCCTTTACTCAGAGCATGTCTCTTATATCTAACATCTGCAGAGCATTACTCTCATCCAAAGATATGTAGAGCATTGCTACAGCTTGTAATAGATGCAAACATAATACTCTCACCCGCATCTGTTGCAGCACATTGCTCCCTTCTACCAATAAGCTGCAGAGCATTGCTACAACCTTTAGCTGGAGTTCTCAACACCTGCAGAGCATTCTATTGATCTCAAAAAGTAACAGAGCATTGCTCAAATATTCCAAACAGCAGCAGGGTGGGCTCCAGGTTTCAACAGCTGCAGGGCATTTCTCCAGCCTGCCAATGAGATAAGCATGTACTACTCCCTTCTTCAAAGAGCATTCTTATTTCCAAAGCTGCAGAGCATTGCTCCCAAAGAGATACAGAGTGCCGTTTCAGGCTTTATCTGCTGCAGAGTATTGCACTCTTTTCTGAAAAGGATGCAGAGCGTCACTCGTTTCCCCACAGCTCTATAGATTTTATAGTCTGAACTGTAGCACACCTGGAGCTAAATAAGTCAACATTTCAGAACCGCAGAGCTCATCTGAACAGCCCTGGAATGCATTACACGTGCAGAGCATTGCTCCAGCCCCAAAAAGCCCTGCAGTGCCTCTACAGCCTTCCAAAATTCTGCAGAACATTGATTCATATCATGCTGGCAAAATCTTTGGCGCTTTGCATATGCAGATACATTATTCACATCCATGCCTGCTCCAAGGAGCTTACAATCTAAAGTCATACAAACACATAGTCATCTCCCAAACTCTTCAGAGCATTGCTCCAGGCTCCTAAAGCTCAGATTATAAACTTCTAATAGATCAGATCTGAACATATGACAAATGGCAGTTGTGTTCCATAAGGGAACTGACCGCATGGATCAAAGCCACCTACCACCAAGAACTGTCAGAAGTGTGAAACTCTTAATGCTGTGGTTGGTTAAATTGAAGCGACCGATTTGCTGCCTGAAAATTGCCCTGTGTATGATCTGCAGAGAATTTTAACCCCTTAGATGCACTTACTGGTGTGTTGGCACTGAGCTGGCAGTCAGGATCCTGTGAGTGGCAGGGCAGAGCTCATCACATTACTGTATATATATATCCTTTAACTTACAGGATCTGGGTGTGGACTATGTTCTTCCATCACCCATAGGCTCCTGTGTCTAAACACTCCTCCAACACCAGCCAGTAGGTGACAGCCAGGCTGGAGTCTAGGCAGGACCTGGGTGGAGGAAATGTACTGCTTAGTCTGGGCAAAGTTCACTCTCCCTCCCTCCCCAAGTCCTGGGGGAGATCAGACACATCACAACTCTGTACAAAAGTTTACTGAACGCTGCAAAAACAGGCGACCATTCAGGACCTGCCAACAAATTCGCTCACCCAATATCCACCTCCTAATACTGCTTATATTCTTTACGGCTGTCATAGTTTTGTTTATTCTTTTTTTACATTCAGTGTTTTTTTTATTTAAAGAAATGCAAAAGTACACTCCATTAGTGATGGGCCGGACACCTCCTTGTTCAGTTCGCGGTCGAACATCCGAACCTACAGAATGTTCGACCGTGAACTTTGAACACAAACCGAACAATTTACTGAGCGGTATCTTACCGCATCTGAGTATGTGACAAGATACCGCTCAGTTACTAAAATACCGAGTTCTATTATGAGGTCATGCGGTATTTTAGTAGTGAAATATTCATTCATGTTTCAGCTGTCACAGCTGAATGTAAAACGAATTGTCAGCATTGCCCAAAAATACATTTTTTTTTTTTTAAAACGGCGTGGGGTCCCCCCTCACATCCATACCAAGCCCTTCAGGTCTGGTATGGATTTTTAAGGGAACCCCCCCAAAATAAAAAAAAATGGCATGGGGGTCCCCCCAAAATCCATACCAGACCTTTATCAGAGCATGCAGCCCGGCAGGTCAGAAAAGGGGGGGAGATGAGTGAGGGATCGCCCCGCCCCGAACCATACCAGGCCACATGGCCTTAGTATGGGGGGGTGCTTTGGGGCCCCCGAAGCACCTTGTCCCCACCTTTTTCGCACAACCGTGGCCTGTGGTTGTGGGGGTCTGCGGGTTGGGGGCTTAACAAGGGGGCCCCTAGATCCTGCCCTTCCCCCCATTTGAATGAGTATGCGATACATGGTACCCCATACTCATTCACAAATAAAAAGTGTAGTGTAAAAAAAGACAGGAGACAGTCTTTGACAAGTCCTTTATTAAAAACAAAAATTTAAAAAATGTCCCCCAAAGTAAATCCAACATCAATTAAGATGCCCACCACCGCCACTACCCGAAAAAAGAAAAAAAAAAAAACGCTCAGCTCATGACGCCAGCTCCTGCGATCTGACAGCTCCACCCCAATGACAGTTCTTAAATACCGTAATGACCTCACAAGGAGGAGGGGTTCACCTGTGGTCAGGGGCATTACTTTGACTAATCACAATGCACTGTCAGGGCACAGTGCATTGTGGGGTGCGGAAGGCAAACACCTGTGCCGTTCATGTGTTCACCAAGCACACGAACAGCCCATCTTCAAGTCGAACTAAGGTTCGACTCAAACATGAAGCCCATCCCTACAGTCCATGTCCAAATGTGCAACATTCCAGAAAAAACAGTAAAATGTTACAATACATTGACTATTTTTATTTATTGACAATTATTTATTTGTTTATTTTTTTTCCCTCTACAAACACTTCAGTTTTATTTTCCAAACAATTGAATCGGCAAACAACTGAATAGCCATAACTTCCCTTCTAATCAATTTACACTCAATTTAGATTGCATTTGATCAAACTGGAGTTGATCGGCCAAGGCTGAAAATCAGGAAAGGATTATTTTTCATTGACAAAATAATTCATAAATACGACCAGATTTCGATCAGTCAGTTTATGAGATTACACGGTGGAAACAGAGGTGTGATCAATAACCTATCATCACAAATTACGATTAGATCTTAAAGTAGATGTAAACCCACACCTTGTAAAACAACCCATTCAGTTTAAAATAGAAATGAAAGGTAAAACATTTGTGTACAGGTATAAAAACAGTATAAATACCCTTTTTTCCCCTTTTTATAAGTGTTCACATTCCCTCTGTTTTCAGCTGCATAGAGAGGTGGGGAGAGAAGAAACAGTAGCACACTGGGCTTCCCAGTGAATGGCTGTGTGTGTGTGGGGGGGGGGAGGGGGTGTATCAGGGCAAGTCTAATCATTGGAGGAGAGCACATCGAGTTCCCAGCACAGCTAGAGTACTGACCACGCTGCATTTTCATGCCTAGTGTGGTCAGTTTTTAATAGGAAAGCAGAGGGACTGGCTGGAACACCAGGGATTGCACACAAAGGAAGCAATACAAAGAGAACAGGAGACTTTCTTCATACAAGTACATGGTACAGAAGGCACATATCATGAGTATGAAATGTTGGGTTTACATATTCGTTAAGTTTGTGATAGGTTGCACTTACAAATTCTGGTTATCTGACATTGAGTCTATTCAACTTTACTAATAGATACATATCAGGAATATGAAATGTTGGATTTACATACTCTTTAACTATACTTCAAAATCCTCTTCCCTATGTGTGGCATATCATTCAAATGGGTTGTTAATTGTAGATCAATTAATCCCATAGGAAGAGATCGATTGGAAAACAAAATCGACCTTTTATGAAGCATGTCACAGCGTGAGGAAAGTACTGCCAGTAACCAGCAACTGTCAAAGCAGACATCTGCACTGATAATCAGGGCACTGATTATCAGTGCAGCCCCAAAAGTGCCCAACAGTGCTGCCAATCTGTGCCCATCAGTGCTGCCAGTCAGTGCCCTTCAGTGCTACCTATTAGTGCCCATCAGTGCCGCCTATCAGTTCCCATCATTGCCACCTATCAGTGCCCATCAGTACAGCATCATCAGTGCTTCCTCATCAATGCCCATCAGTGAAGGAGAAAAATTACCTGTTTCCAAAAATTTATAATAGAAACAAAGAAAACTTTTGTTCGTTTATAGTGCAAAAAATAAAACACCCAGTGGTGATTAAATACCACCAAAAGAAAGCTCTGTTTATGTGAAAAAAAAAATTATAAACATTTCATATGGGCACAGTGTTGCATGAAAAGCTTAAAGCTGAAAGCTTAAAATTGGCCTGGGCAGGAAGGGGGTAAAAGTGTCCAGTAGGCTAGTGGTTAAGAACAATCCATATATAAAAAAGAAAATGATGCATACCAGAACACAGGAGGTCTTAGATTTTAACAGCTACCATGTAATTGTACTATATATTTATGAACTCTACAGTGTATTGCCCTGATCTTTACCACATTGTTTCCTGATTGCACTGGAAATCACTGAAGCAGGGATATATAAAAATTTGACATGTTTCTTATTCTACAGTACTACTTCTTCAGGAAGAATACGAGAGCTGGACATTTACATAAATACAAACTTGTGAGATAATCAGACATAAAAAAAAAACACCTACTGGAATAGCATAGCATCAGAGCATGATTATAAAATCATTATTGGGTGCGGCTATCCATACATTTCTGGAAAAGGGATATTAAAGAGGGAGTCAAACAGCTGGAAATTCTTAACATATAAAATTTAAATATATAGTATTGTGCAAAGGTCATAGGCAGGTGTGAAGAAATGCTGTAAAGTAAGAATTACTTCAAATATATATATATATATATTTTTTTTTTTTAATTACTTATTTGTATCAATTTTCATAATGCAAAGTGAGCGAACAGAAGAAAAATCTAAATCAAATTAAGTTCACCTTATCAAGCTCTTTTGAAGAAGCACAAAGAAACGCTGAGGACTGTAGATGCAGTGATCAGCCAAGGAAACTTAAAGTGGTAGTAAACTAAAAAAAAAAAAAAAAAAAGTTTTTCCCTGCAAGGCAAAGTTATAATGTGCTTTGCATTACTAGTAAATTATGATGGACTTATGAAGCCCTCCAGCGGCGTGATGTCACCGCTGCAAAAGCTTCCATCTTCACCTGGTCTTCCTTCCAGGTTCCTGGGCTGTGGCCACCCGACTGGCCGAGCCGCGATGATGTCATGGCCATGGCACACAGCTCTGAAGGAATGCCACAAGTATGCTGTTTCTTCAGAGCACATGCACCGGTGATGTCACCGGTTGCTGATCAGTGCACATTTAGGAGATATTCATTTACTACTACTACATTTTACTACTGCCTTAATACAGCAAATGAAAGACACACCATGCTTCCCTTCCACATCAGAAGATGTCCAACAGTGCCATCAACAAAGCACTGGTGGAAACCAGTGGGAACCAGGTACACCCACCTACTGTCCAGAGAATTCTGGCCAGACATGGTCTTCATGGCCAAAAAGCCAAACCTCTTTTGTGGAAACAAGGTGAAGAGACTCAACTATGGACAAAAACATAGGAACCGGGGTGCAGTAAAATGGCAGCAGGTGCTCTGGACTGATGAGGCAAAATCTGAAAATGTTCTCTGTAGCAGAAAACATTTTGTGAAGGTCTGGATAAGGCAACAGTGAAGCATGGTGGAGGTTCCCTGCAAGTTTGTGGCTGGATTTCTGCAAATGGAATTGGAGATTTGGTCAGGATCAATGGTGTCCTCAATGCTGAGAAATACAGGCTGATACTTATCCATCATGCCATCTCATCAGGGAGGTTTGTGGCCCCAAATGTATTCTGCAGCAGGACAACAACCCCAAACATACAGCCGATGTCATTAAGAACTATCTTCAGTGTAAAGAAGAACCCCCTGTCCTGGATGTGATGGTTTCAGGACAGGAGCCCTGATGTCAGAGCCCTGATGTCAATGTTATAGAGTCTGGGATTCCATGAAAAGACAGGAAGATTTGAGGCAACCTACATCCACAGAAAATCTGTGGTTAGTTCTCCAAGAAGTTTGGAACAAGCTACCTGCTGAGTTCCTTCAAAAACTATGCGCAAGTATAACTAGAAGCATTGATGCTTTTTTGAAAGCAAAGAGTGGTCACACCATATATTGATTTGATTTGGATTTCCCTTCTGTTCCTTTACTGTCCATTTTGTTAATCGATAAAAATAAACTATTAACGCTTCTAT